GGGGGGGGGGGGGGGGAGAACTACACATTGGCTCTTAGCTCCATAACCTGAAATAAGTGGTGAATTTTCTGTCTAAAGCTCACTATATTCATAGATTCTAGGACTGGAAGGGACCTCGAGAGGTCATCGAGTCCAGTCCCCTGCCCGCATGGCAGGACCAAATACTGTCTAGACCAGTGGTTCCCAAACTTTAACCACCTGTGAACCCCTTTCACTAAAATGTCAAGTCTCGCGAACCCCCTCCTAAAAATGAATATTTCCGGGGATTTTCTCCCTTACCTGAGTATAAATTATAAAAGCAGTGATCTTGGAAATATAAAATGTGTTTTGATGCCATGCTTATTACACACTATTTATTATTAATTACTATTTATCATTACAGTATTTTTATTACATTTATGAAAAGGGCAACACTCTTCCAAGATCTCACTTTTGTAGCTTGTATCACTTTGAATAAGCCTGTTATAAGACAAGGCTCCTATGTTTCATCAAGGAGTATCAGACGTGAAACAGCATGAAGGGATTTAAGAAGCCAACTCAAAGAGTTCTTCCTACACAAGCATTCAGGTCTTGAGCAGTCCAGGCAAACAACACACGTTACAACAAAGCTTAAACTTGTTCTTCATAATAATTTTAAAAACAATACTAGCTGCCTATTTAATTTTAATAACAGCAAAAAAATATCCATCTCCCTTTCCATTTCTTATAAGGAGTCTTGACGTTTAAATCTCCTCAGTGTGATAGATATGCTCGCTTTGATCTGCTTAGCTCTTGGAAGTCCAGGGGCTCCGGGCTGCTGGTCCCGTGCTGCCCGGGGTCCCTAAGGACAGCTCTGTCCGCCATTAAGGAATTTTTCCCCGAGAACCCCCTGTAACATTTCGTGAACCCCCAGGGGTTCACGAACCCCAGTTTGGGAACCACTGGTCTAGACCATCCCTGATAGACATTTATCTAACCTACTCTTAAATATCTCCAGAGATGGAGATTCCACAACCTCCCTAGGCAATTTATTCCAGTGTTTAACTACCCTGACAGTTAGGAACTTTTTCCTAATGTCCAACCTAGACCTCCCTTGCTGCAGTTTAAGCCCATTGCTTCTTGTTCTATCCTTAGAGGCTAAGGTGAACAAGTTTTGTCCCTCCTCCTTATGACACCTTTTTAGATACCTGAAAACTGCTATCATGTCCCCTCTCAGTCTTCTCTTTTCCAAACTAAACAAACCCAATTCTTTCAGTCTTCCTTCATAGGTCATGTTCTCAAGACCTTTAATCATTCTTGTTGCTCTTCTCTGGACCCTTTTCAATTTCTCAACATCTTTCTTGAAATGCGGTGCCCAAAACTGGACACAATACTCCAGCTGAGGCCTAACCAGAGCAGAGTAGAGCGGAAGAATGACTTCTCGTGTCTTGCTCACAACACACCTGTTAATACATCCCAGAATCATGTTTGCTTTTTTTGCAACAGCATCACACTGTTGACTCATTTAGCTTGTGGTCCACTATAACCCTGTGTATATGACTTGTTAAGAACTGGTACTTCCACAAATACGATGTCACAAAAAGACTAACTCCGAAAGAAGTTAACATTTAAAATATTTGAAAACATATGGAAAAGCATAGTGGGAAAAATGTCTGTTTACCTCTTCTTTTTTTATATGGTTAACACTCATAAAGCACTGAAGCAACAAATCTTTTACTTCATTGGTCTCCTCGAGGTCATAATCAAAACACAGTAACGTCTGGTGTAGATGCCATAGACGAACTATATCTGCACCCTAAAAAAAGAAACACAGTTATGCTATAGTGAAAGTAAACCTAATTACACTTTTAGACTTCGCTGTCTAAGAGCTCCCTACCAACCACATTTCAGTTTCAGGACCTGAACCAATCCTGTACCATATAGGCAGTGGTACTTTTTCAGACTGCATAAAACATTAATTTCCTTGATATAGTGGAAATGGAAACAAATTAAAACAACATGCATAACCACAGAAAAAAGACTTGCAGTGAATCTGAGAGTCCAAGAGGAAGCCAAGGAAAAGAAACCAAAGATGACTAGGATAAGGGGAAGAAACAAGACAATGTTGCAGAGGTGGGATAACCATGACAGAAGCAATTAGAATGATGGAGATGACAAAAATGAGAATGACTATAGAGGAAACAATTTCTTGGGTACTGCCACAGTTGTGCACAGTGCTTTAGAAAACACAGACAAAAATCGTCCGAGAAAATTCATTGAAATCAAACTGAAATAAAGCAAGCAATTAAAAATGAGATGTGAGGCTGGGAGCTAAGAATTATAGTTCATGAGCAATGGAAAGCTAAGCAAAAGGAGTGGACATGCCTCTGGAGCACGCTGGATATGGAACTGCAGTTATGTCTCTGCTTCAGTTTCCCCTAGTGGCCTTTCAATAAATTCAATGAGGCTTATATACAGTCAATAATGCCCCTTCCGGAGTCTAGTTTATTCAACTGCCAAACATGGTATGTAAACAAGCCTTCTCCCTCAGCTGTAACTCCCCAGGCTTCTCCACTGCCTAGTCTCTCCCCTGATGACTCAGGGAATCACCGAGGCCTTCCTGTCCAGAGAGCTTTGTAATCTCTCCTCTGGAAATCTGTGTGCTGGGGTAGTTCCTCTCCCCAGAAGCTTCCTCTGTATTCTGGCTCTTCATAAAGCCCAGGTGTTCCTTTACTAATTAACTAATGCCCAGCTACCGAAAGACACCATAATAGAGGTTCAACTTAAATGTATACCCCAAATTAAAAAAAACATAGTAAGAAAATAAAAAGTGCCACCTTGGCTAAACAACAAAGTAAAAGAAGCAGCAAGAGGCAAAAAGACATCTTTTAAAAGTGGAAGTTAAATCCTAGTGAGGAAAATAGAAATAGAAAGGAGCATAAACTCTGGCAAATTAAATGTAAAACTATAATTAGGAAGGCCAAAGATTCAAAAAGTAATAGCAAAAAAAATAAAAATAAATTTAAGTATATCAGAAGCAGGAAGCCTGCTAAACAACCAGTGGGGCCACTGGACGATCGAGATGCTAATGGAGCACTCAAGGATGATAAGGCAATTGCGGAGAAGCTAAATGCATTCTTTGAATTGGTCTTCATGGCTGAGGATGTGAGGGAGATTCCTAAACCTGAGCCATTGTTTTTAGGTGACAAATCTGAGGAACTGTCCCAGATTGAGGTGTCATTAGAGGTGGTTTTGGAACAAATTGATAAATTAAACAGTAATAAGTCACCAGGACCAGATGGTATTCACCCAAGAGTTCTGAAGGAACTCAAATGTGAAATTGCAGAACTACTAACTGTAGTCTGTAACCTATCATTTAAATCAGCTTCTGTATCAAATGACTGGAGAATAGCTAATGTGATGCCAATTTTTAAAAAAGGGCTCCAGACGTGACCAGGGCAATTACAGGTCGGTAAGTCTGACTTCAGTACCGGGAAAACTGGTTGAAACTATAGTAAAGAACAAAATTGTCAGACACACCGATGAACATAATTTGTTGGGGAAGAGTCAACGTGGTTTTTGTAAAGGAAAATCATGTCTCACCAATCTATTAGAATTCTTTGAGAGGGTCAACAAGCATGTAGACAAGGGGGATCCAGTGGATATAGTGTACTTAGATTTTCAGAAAGCCTTTGACAAAGTCCCTCACCAAAGGCTCTTTACGCAAAGTAAGCGGTCATGGGATAAGAGAGAAGGTCCTCTCATGAATTGGTAATTGGTTAAAAGATAGGAAACAAAGGGTAGGAATAAATGTTCCGTTTTCAGAATGGAGAGAGATAAATAGTGGTGTTCCCCCAAGATTCTGTACTGGGACAAGTCTTATTCAACATATTCATAAATGGTCTGGAAAAAGGGGTAAACAGTGAGGTGGCAAAATTTGCAGATGATACAAAATTACTCAAGATAGTTAAGTCCCATGCAGACTGCGAAGAGCTCCAAAAGGATCTCTGAAAACTGGGTGACTGGGCAACAAAATGGTAGATGAAATTCAATGTTGATAAATGCAAAATAATGCACATTGGAAAGCATAATCCTAACTATACATATAAAATTAGCTGTTATCACTCAAGAAAGATCTCGGAGTCATTGTGGATAGTTCTCTGAAAACATTCACTCAATGTGCAGCGGTAGTCAAAAAAGCAAACAGAATATTAGGAATCTTTAAGAAAGATAGATAGTAAGACAGAAAATATCATATTGCCTCTATATAAATCCATGGTACACCCACATCTTGAATACTGTGTGCAGATGTGGTCGCCCCATCTCAAAAAAGAACTGGATAAATTCATGGAGGATAGGTCCATCAATGGCTATTAGCCAGGATGGACAAGGGTGGTGTCCCTAGCCTCTGTTTGCCAGAAGCTGGAAATGGGCAACAGGGGATGGATCACTTGCTGATTATGTGTTCTGTTCATTCCCTCTGGAACACCTGGCATTGGCCACTGTCAGAAGACGGGATACTGGGCTAATTGGACCTTCGGTCTGACCCAGTATGGCTGTTCTTATCCCATTACCAATCCAGAGGTGGATCTAGATTGACTCACTCTCCTTAGCAGAGCCTGGGTGCCTGACCCTCAGAGGGACAGCACCTGTGACATCGCACAATAAAGGCTCATCTAGCATGAGGCTGAATTAAAAAAGGATAATTTCTGGGAAGTGCTGAGCACATGTACTATGAAAAATAAAGCCCCTTTAAGATTTTTCAGGAACGACAGCCCAAAATTGAGTCGCCCAAAACCATTAGTCACTCTACAAATATTGACCATTAACTTTTTTTTTTTTTGG